GGTGGATGTGAGGCCCTCTATGGTGGACCCTTTAGATCTCTCTAGATATCTAGCCAAACTCTCTATGAGTACTCCAATTTTTATTGTTTAGAACAATATTGCTCTTCTAATAAAATTAGAGTACCATTTCTGAATTTGCCATGAAGAAGAAGGCCATGTCCCTATTCTCTTTGCGTTTTTGCTGCCATTGTTAATTTTATTATGGTGTAGGACGTTCTCTTTTTCCTCATCCCCCTTTTTTTTCTTTTTTTTTGTGCGGTTAAATAAGATATGAAACAGATTGGGGTTTTCATTAACCTCATAACGTCTGCGATTTGCTTTAGATCACGTTTTCCTTCTCTTCCTCATTTAATTGGTTCTTTTTCATTTTTATCTTCTTTTTTTAATTTGTATTTGCATTCTTCTTCAAATTTAAACTACTAACGTGAGAATTCTTGCATTTTTTGGGCACAGGCTGAAGCATCAAAATGCTACTATCAACTATTGATATTTGCATATTATTTCGAGAAGCATTAGCTTCCATTCATGCCTCTCAGTTCCTATGGGCAAAGGCTTTCAATAAATTATATCTCTGAGGCTATTGAAGTGAATATTTTTAGCTCTTTGGTGCAAGTTTGACAATGAGGATTTGGAAATCTTGGAAGCTGTTTTTTTTTCCCTTAAGATTATAAACTGGAAAATATTTGATTTTAATATGATTGTGATTTGGATTGAAAACTGAAGTGTTCTCATAATCACCCTTGAAATAATTTGTTCAAAATTTTTATTTTGAGAATAATATGTTTTTTGAAAGGGTGCAGTTTGCATACAGATGCATCCATAGGTGCAGAGGTAAGGTGCACCTTCAAATTTTATCGTGGTATATAATTTTGATGTAAAATTTTCTTAGGATTATCTCAAAATCTATTTTTATATGTAATTATAAAATTTTAAATTTAAAAAATGGTTAAAATCAAGTAGATCTATAAATATATGAAAATCTTGAAAATGGACGGTGTAGATAATATGTTGTAAAATACATTATTTTTGAGACCTAAAATCTTTTTATTTTTCATAGTCATACATCTTGATGTCGAGATGATCAATCGAAAGAGTTTTTCAACATTAAAACTACCTTTTCCGATGGATTTTTGAGGGGCATCTGTAGTTCTACATTATAAGGTGGCATCCTTAAATAAACTTTTTCCTTTTCGAAATAATTGACTAAGATCTCATGATTGTTAATAATATGCATGATATATATATATATATATATCTTAAATTTTTATTTTCAATTAATTTTTATTTTCAATTGAGAAGAATTCCATGATTTTGGTTTGATGCTTAATATTATTAAACATAAGCGAGAACCCTAGATATTAAAGAATTATCATAAACTACATAAGCATTAATATTTTGTCAATAGTGAACTTAATTTTGTTACTTTATTTTTTTTCAAGTTATTTTGTTTTTAATAACAAGTTTTCAATTTTCAAAAAACTTACTTTATGCATTTTGAACTCTCCTAAATTTATGTATTTTACACTTTTATTAAGAAATTTATAAATGTTAGGAATTTATTTTTTAATATTTTCATTTTTATGTTTTAATATTTTAATATTTTAATATTTTTATTTCTCTTGAAAAAAAATTTGATTAATTTTTAATTTTTCATTAAAATTTATAAGTATTTAAAAGAGTCTTAAGTACAAAAATTGGGAATGCATTATTGTCTTTTATTTAATTTTTAAGAACTTTATAAATTTCAATGCGAAGTTTTATGCTCCAAAAATATAATGTATAATTGAATTTTTATTTATTAAATACAAGTTTTTAAAATTTTCAAAATTTATGTCCATTTTTTCCTTTCCAAGTATTTCTAAAATTTCCTTTTTATTATAATTGTCAAAATTTCTGTCTAATTCTAATTTTCAAAAAAAAAAAATTCTTTTGGATTTGTTCAATATTTAATTAAAAATTAATTTATTGGTAACCATTGAGAGGACCAAACATGACTTCCCCACCTATGAGCATAGAGACAGATCCTTATTTTTTTTATTTAACAAACATAATATCTTTATCTTTTTTATTTGTTCCCTCATATTGAGAGAGAGACCCCTCATTTGCTAATTCAAATTTATCTGAAACATCTATAGAGAGAGAGATTGGAGTTAATTCCAAAACGCTAAAAGACAACAATGAGGAAGTTTTAGTGCCATGACGGGGTATCATAGTTAGAATTCAGAGAGACTGGCCTTAGAAGGGCAAGCTTTCTATGTTTTCCCTACAACATAAATTTATATATTTCTCCTTATCCGACCGTCCATTTTGAATAGGGGGTTAAGATTGTCTCAATCACAATATCACATCTTTACGCTATTTAATTTTATTTTATTTTATAAACTATTTTGCCACCAAATTTTGTATGTCCGATCCTCTATTAAACTCGCACTAACTAAAAATATAAAAATAATATTTCCAATAAAATAAAATAATCAAAATACTCCTAAAAGTTTTAAAAGGTATTTTGGTCATTATATTTAATCAAAAAAATATTTTTAATATTTTTTATAGGTGCGCCCCAATGAGAAGATGCCTCTTACCAAGAGTTTCATATTCATAAAATTTGTATAAAAAATAAAACATAAAAATAAAAATAAAATACTTTGAGATGTCGGATCTAAGATCAAACAGTGAGTGGTTCTCTTGATTAAAATTGAACGGCTGGATGGTAAGGGAAGCATAGATCTTATATGCTATAGGAAAATATAGAAACCTTTTCCTAAAAATATTTTATATGGATTTCCTTGATATTTATCGTTATACATCTGGGTACTCTCCTACTGTAATATACTGCAATTTATATGAGACCGTGTTAATATTTGACTCTTATTGCATATCAATGTATTCTTGCGTCACATATTTATATGATTATTTATATTAATACTCATTACATTTTTATGTACTCTCTATTCTATATTTACACAATTGTTTATTGATTACTTATTTCATTCTTATGTGCAAAGCACGTATTTCAACTAGTACTCAATAAACGCAGTGCAACATTAAATAAAAAAAAAACTCTCATGAATATATTACTTTATATGAATATTCAGTATCCATGATTGCACATATAAAAATAGAATTGACATATTATGTGACAATATGTCACTGTCGCCCTCTCTGCTCTGTACATGTTGGAAAAAGTTTATATAAGGATACAACCTTATAGTGTAGTACTACGGATGTACCTCAAAAATTCATTAGAAAAGGTAGTTTTAATGTTGAAAAACCCTTTGATTGATCATTTCGACATCGAGATATATGACAATGAAAAATAAAGAGATTTTAAGTCTCAGAAATAGTGCATGTTACAACATATTATCTATATCGTACATTTTCAAGATTTTCATATGTTCATAGATCTACTTGATTTTAACCATTTTTTGAATTTAAAATGTTATAATTTGATATAAAAATATATTTTGAGATAGTCCTAAAAATATTTTACATCAAAATTATATACCATGATAACATTTAAAAGTGTACCTTACCTCTACAGCTATGGATGCATCGGTATGCCTACTGCACCCTTACATGTTTTATGTTGTAATTGAGGTAGAAAAAGTATAGTACTCTTTTTTAAGGGGAAATATCAATTAGTTCATTGGACCACCTCAAATAGTAACTAAATAACTAAATAGCCAAAAAAAAAAAAACAAAAAATTTCTAAATAATTTTGTCAGGAAATACTCAAATATCATTTGTTTTGGGTTTGTAACCTTGAACAAGTGATGACATTTTGATAATATAACAATCTTAAATCAATTAATCTAAATGACCTCAATACCTCTATTTAATCAATCCTTAAAACATAAGTATCTTAATAATTTGGTCCCATTTAAGTTACCTATGCTAAAGTATAAATACCTTGTTTGTTTGGGGTTCCAAACTCTAAATCAATTTTTTAATGAAAAAACATGTCATGAGGTGGAATCAAAACAAGCAAAGGTAACTAAGTAATTTGGCTCAATTACTTAAACAGCCTAGTAACAAAAATATCGTTACTTGTTCAGGATTTGAAAAAACTTGAGTAACAATAGTTTTGGTACTCTCTAACAAAATAAATAATGAATTATCTAATGAAATAGCTTCAAAAATAAGGACATTGTCAATAAATTTGTCATTTGTCTTATTCATTTTTATCAAAATAATATTCTACTCCCGTAGGAGTGGAATGTCTATTTACTCCCTTAGGTAAAACCCGACCCATAATTAATTTTAAGATCCTAAATTTTGGAGATATAATTTTTTCGACCATAGATTAATCTCAAGTAAAAAAAGATCCTAATTGTACCTTCCATGCCCTTGAAAAAATAATGTCTTGAAATTGAATAGAGACCATTTAATTAGATGGTGAGATTGAAAGTGTTAGAAAACTCAAATTTCAAAAAAAAATAAATAGAGTAATCATCTAGTAATTCGTTATTGGTTCTCAAAATATCAAATAAAAAAAAATCTCGCAAGTGGATCTCCTTATTAGAGAGTAGAAATAAACTATGCTCCTGAAGCAACATAATATAGGCATGCCTCACACAACATTTGGAAGGACCTTGTACATAGAGAGATAGAGGGGATATATACAACCTCTCTTAAGAAAACGAGACCATTACTCAAAATCAACCAATGGGAAGGGAAAGAGTGTTGACAAATAATAACAAAAAATATTAGAAAATAAACAGTATTTTCGCTCATAAGTTCATCACTGTCCAAAAATACTTTGGATATGAAAAGTATTTATAATAGTTTTAAAATTATGTTTTGACTACCAATTATGAATTTTTGTAGCTCAAAAAATAGGACAAAGTAGATTTATCAAAAAATAAATAATCTAAATAACATGCAATAATATATACTATTTTTAAAAAAAATAATGGGAGGGTCTTAGGATCAATGTTGACGCTAGAACCATAATTTTGTAAGCTTTGAGGTGACAACCTCAAGATAAATATTTTCCAACTGAGCGCCTTTTGTAAACCTTTTTCTGAGAACAAGTTAGAGGGAGAGAAGCCTTGCCGCCTTCGATAAACTCCTCCCTGACATAAAATGAAACTTTTAGAAAGAGAGAGGGGTTTTGCCAATCCATTTCCATGTTTAATTGCAGGGTGAGAGAGGCCTTGAAGGAAGAATAATCATTCTTTTAGAGCATTACAGTTACAAAATTCATCGTTAGAGAGAGAGAGAAAGATCGTTAGAGAGAGATCCATTGCGTTCGGTGAAGGAAGATGAAGAAATTGGGGGCCTCCTCTCTCTGTATTTTTTCTCTGTACTAGAGCATATTATCCAGTCTTGCAAATCGTACTCAGGATGAAAATGGAGCATACGGGAAACATTGGGCCGGATCCATTAGCACTATTGGCATTGGAGACAACCAAGGCCCAGTAAAAAACCTAGAGATAGAGCGAGAGTCGTGGGAAGGCGAAGAATGCCTAAGGAGGAAGCATGGACCAACTTCCCTCGAGATTTGATGGTGGGTGCTGTTATGGGTGGCATGGTTCACACAATCGTGGCACCCATCGAGCGTGCAAAGCTTCTTCTTCAGACCCAAGAGAGTAACCTGGCCATTACAGGTGGGAAACATAGGAGATTCAAGGGCATGTTTGACTGTATAATCAGAACTTTCAGAGAAGAGGGCGTCCTCTCTCTATGGAGGGGAAATGGAAGCAGTGTCCTTAGGTATTACCCATCCGTGGCCCTCAATTTCTCTCTCAAGGTATCCCCCCGCTTACAATTGCTCCCTCTCTCTCTTTATTTAAGCAGCTCTTTATCTTTTCTGTTCCATATTTGGTTTACTTGTGATTGAATCCAACGCCTTTAGATTTTGAATTGCCATGTTATTATGCTAGGAAGGTAATTAGGTGTGAATTGGGGTGTGACTATGTTGAATTGGTGTGATGGAATCTCATGCCACCAAATTGTTTGAAATTCTATTAATCTGACATCCATCAAAGGAAAGAAGTTCCTCTAATTTGTTACTGTTCTATTCAACTAATCATCAATTGCAAAAAATAAAATAAAAAATGGAAACGTGCTGCCATTAGACCTTAAGGCCCCTACAAAGGTGTGATATTTCATCGAATATATGTTGTAATCTCCAAGCGCAGTCGGCGGAACCGAAGGCCCAAGCGATGGCATTCCGGGAGTCTCCTGCGACCATCAAGTGGGGGCTCCAATTGGGGATGAACTTTCGAAGGCCCTTCAAGAGGGCTAGGGCCTCTGCTTGTGTAGAATTTGGGATATCGATGGGGAGGGAGAAGGAAAGTAGGATCGAGCCATCATGTGATTCGAAAATGCCTCCTATACCGTAGGGTCCTGAGTTGCCAAGTAAGCAACCATCAAAGTCGAGTTTGGAGACTCCTAAATCCAGAGGCCTTCAAAAGTGAGGCCCAAGAAATCCTTGGAGGTCTCACGTTCAACAGAGTGCCAGTTGCTAAAAAGGTCAGATTAAGAGAGATCTTTGAACAATTTTTGATTTTTGGCCTAGAAGGATACTAAAGATCTGACTTTCTCGACTAAATAGGACACCGAGGTTTCCTCACCCCAGAAAATTTTGTTATTTTGCTCTACTCAGATGACCCAGAGCGAGGCAGCCATAGAGACCCTCCAAACGATTTTTCCTCCAAAGAAGAAGTAGGAAGGATTTTCCTTAAGGCAACCACTTCTCTGCAAAAAATAGAGCTACACCACCCTGGAAAAATGTGGTGGGTAGAGCCAGGAAAGATGAAAAAAAGAGGTGGGGGGAAGAGGAGGGGGGGGGGGGGGGGAGGATGCATAGCGGCTGATGAAGTTGGTGTGTTAGACTTTGAAGAGGGATTCCAGGAACAAATACCTTGGGCAGACAACAGCTGTAAGTCACAACTAGTACTGAGCAGCATTACACCCTACTTTGGATCTCTAAGCGATCTCTCACAGCACCTGACTTAGCTAATCCATCTGCCAAGTCATTTGCTGCCCTCCACACATGCATGAATGAGATACAAAGTGAAGAGGAAATGACATGTATTTGATCCTAAGTATTCTTCATGGCATTGAATCTAAGTCTCTGATTTGATGCCAGAATATCACATTGAGCAAGTCCTGTTCAACAATGAGAGAGTTACCCTAACTTCTGTCTAGCAGCGTTAGACATTTCGGCCATGTTACAGTTCGCAATCTCAATGGGGCCTGAAAAAGGGAGGAGAACCTGTGGTCGGTTGTCTTGGAAAACAACACCTCCACCCCCCTAAAACCAAAAAACAAAAAAAACCTGGCAGCCTAGGGTGGACTATTGAAATAGGAATTATTGAGGAGCTCTGGAGCTGGAGCTGGAGGGTCTCCTTTCAGGACATATTGAAATAGGAATTATTATCAAGATATATAAGAGGAAAAATAAGATTTTTTTTTTTTTTTTGAGAATGTTAACCAAATCGGTAAAGTTTGGATAGCCAGCCACCTATAACTACACCTTTTTTTTGTGGTTCTCTGCCATGGTTTGGATGCACCTTACTCATCTCTTAATTGGATCAATTTTAATAGATATGTGTGTAACCTTAAAAGTAGTGAAATACTTTGATCTTGATATGTTTCTTTATCAAATTTGATTTCTTTTTGTGAATCAAAGGAACAATATTGATTCTAGATTCACTAAGCGAGTGTCCATGAGATATGATATTGTCTAAGATTTGTTATGTATGATCTGATCATTAGTCTCGGGAATATGGTCTTGTCACGTATGATGGTCTCATGCAATTTCCCTATTTAACCATTAATCCCAGGAGAAAAAGGATTATTGCATTCCTTTCTGTTGCATCTTAGGCGTATGTAATTGCCTCTAATTTGTGTTTTGTCACTCAGAATGTACGAGGGCGTTTCAACAGGTTGGGACTCAAGTGATGATTGAAAGATCAAATTATAAAAATAAGTGTCAATTCACAATTGTTTAGAAATCCATTTGATGAGTGTGGTAAAACAACTGATGCTAAAATGTGAACTAGCAGAATTATTGTTGTTCCAGAAGATTACTCATTGTTAACATTAAATTATTATTGTTTCATGGAACTGTATGATAATGCAGTACGCTTCATCTTTGAATTTTATTTAATAGAGCCATGCTGTTCCTGTAAAATCATAAAAAAATCAGTATATGGCACAATATCTTCTCTATACAAAACAGTGGGTGGTCCTTAAACATTATTAAAGAAATTTTCCATTACGTGAATTTGTATTAGGTAGTTTAGAAAGTTTGGCCATTTGGCAAACATTGCATGAAGCAAGGTAAAATGAGTTTGAGAATCTTCACTTAAGGGGACCATATTGGGAACGCCTCATCTCTTTCTCCTTGTCTTTACTTCTCTTTCCATGGCTCAAGGATGTGCCATTCAAAAGCCATGCCCCTTGGATTAGTACACTTACCAATGGTCACCATGCCCTTAATTCCCAAAAAAGCCTAATATGTTGTTGGAAATAAAGTTATAAAACAATTATGGGTTTTTTGTATGTGACTAACAGGATGCATATCTGAAGGTAAATTTGGCACGTGGAGGGCTGAGGGCAAAGGAAAGAATGGTGAAAGGTCAACTCTTCCAACTTCATGATCTGGTGTGACTATGCCATGCGCATGAGATAACAAATGTCTTACTGAGATCGGGATGAAATGTAGAAACTAAAAATGCTGCCTATCATGTGATCAGCTCCTGGATCAGTTAATAAAGGGCTAGAAGTGATAGATTTGAACAGAAACATGCATGGCAGCAGCAGTACCTCACTGCTACAGAAAGAATGAATGCATGAAGATAAGTAATGACTTCCTGAATGAGTAGAGATGGTACAATTATGTGATCCCCGTGCATTTGGAGGAACTCATATATCTCATTTATGAAAAATCTTATATCCCTCATCTGGTGTATGGCTGCCAATGGCCCTGGCTAGGGCTGGACCTTGCCCTGACTGAGTCCGGCCCACCTTTTGGCCTAGGCCTGTGCCCTCCAAGCCCAATATTTATGGGCTGGGCCCATTCCTGGCCTGGATGCCTATATGTAGTGATGACCCAAAAGGCATAAATTCAACCACCGTAATACACACATTGAAAGTGGCATTATTAGTGCTTACCTCTTGATCTACTTGTTGCTCTCTAGAGAGTCACCACTATTCTGAGCCCTAAAGGCTGAAGTAGCAGACCCTAAAGATATAGGAGTCATATTAATCCTTAACCACTTCATCATATTGCCTGGTGAAGAAGAAGATCACGGTATATTAGCAAGAAGACCAGCAACAAGAAGCCCAAGACATGTAGCTGGAGCAATGTAATTGAACTCATCTCAAATTCAAGCATAAAATCTCGAATTTACACAGCCAAGCCGCTCAAAACGGATCAACAAATCAATGGAACTTTTCACATTTGAGAGCTCTGGAACTCGAAACAACAAGGCAAAAAGGGTGTTCTCTCTCTAGAACTTGAGAAAGACCTCCAATACAAGCATGGAGTCCCGAATTTGTATATTCAATCATACTTATATGGATCTATGTATGCGAGGCGCTTTGATGGAATAACGAAAGCTTTGTATGTTGTTGTTTGAATAAGGCCCCATGGGTCATCTCTCTCCCATATATAAAGAATTTTCTCTCTCTATCCACTTATCTTCTTCATCCATTAAACCAGCCATTATCAAAATGCGGGATGCAGACTTGATGCGCTCGGGGCTCCAATGCGTGATGTGGCTTGATGCAATCTAGAGGCAGGTGCATCACATTTGATGCAGTCAATAAATTTTAATAATTTAGAAAAATCATAAAAATATAAGAATGCATAAGAAAACACAAATGTGTGATTTATGTTATAATAGAAATTTAAATTAGTACTTTTCTCTGATACATTAGTTGTCTATATCACTTAATAATGTAATAGTTTGATAAAGTGTAACAGAGTTTGTTGGCTTACATGTAATATGAAGTAATCCATTCCATCCCATAGTTGTGGGAACCTTGGGGGTTTTGTCCCACCTCAGGAACTTGATTATGTGGCTCCTTTGAGGGATCTTAGAGGGAGCTGGGTTTAGATAGAGATCTCGATCGACATGCTTGTACGATCCGTCCAAGGAGGGGAGCTATACTACTAATTGAACTATGGCTTCTCTCCTTGATATTGTAGAGTTTCTTCTTTAGAATATGTTAAATTATGGTGCACATTACATCGTGGTATACTAGAATTATGGTATGAAAACGCTCTAGTTTAATGTCATAGTAAGCCAATTCATGATGCTATTAAATTGTATTATTGTACCAAATTGGAGTAGCAGTGGCTCGATCCTAATTTTATGTACTATTAATTGATATAGTTTTTATTATATACTATTAATTGATCTCGTTTTATGTGTAGTGGAGCTTAGATCCCTCCAAGTCAAAGCCTCGGTCTTAGTTATATATGATCTCGCTCTTAGGTATTCTAGGATCTAGCTCCGCAGCTTGTTGAATGTACGGACATCAATCCTTAACATCAGGGTGCTTCCACCCTATGGCGCTTCAGCATTCCCCAAACTGATCCTACTCCCGAACCACGCTTCTGCCTCCAACAACAATGTTCCATCCCTATAGTAACAGTAATTAAAAATCTAACATAACATCCAAAGACCAAAATACTAAACAATTACAAGTTCACGACAACAACCTCATAGTCCTAGCCTAGACATAATTTAAAACTCCAAAGCCCAAAAGTTCATAACATGTGAAATATGAAAG